ATCCAAGGCTGACGTTCGTTGTCTATGTAAGAATGTTACTTATGCCACCAATGTTTGGCTGACATTGGTATGACAGTCGATCTTTCAGGGTTGACTGGCCAAGACAGACTATATTTTCAAGCTGTGAAGAATGCACCGTTCAAGCTCGAACCGGCTGATTTGCAACCAGAGGCAGATCTAGATAGAATGGAAGTCAGTAGTGACGTGGAGAAAGACTTCGAGTCTCTACCTCCCCTGAAAAGAGCAGGTAAGTGAGTCGCGCTCTTGGGTCAACCTATTGACATATGAGTGATTATAAGCAGCTATACACGATGCTTCCGCACCTCCAGGGAAAAGACGCAGAAAGAAGACGTAGCACCCATTTCTGATTTTCTTTTGTTGCTTTGCATTTTGTTGCTGTTCGATCTGCAATAATAAAACGTAAATATATAATGGCAATCAATTTTGTAACATTGTCTGTTTATTGCTGCACCCCATACATGTACAGACCCAAGTTGTATCGACTGGAGACGCTCAGAAGAAGCTGGCTAGATCAAATTGTCAACCTCCTCTACTCTGGCGTTCAACATTCAAGCTCTGCTCGGTGTCATGAATTGTCGGTGCGACAGGATCGGGTAAGACGACATGTACAGTGAGCACGTTATACTAAAGCCTCGTCTGACTACACCTCCATCAGAATCCCGCTATTCGATGCCTATTCAGACTTACCGCATATCCAAGGGGAACTTGTCGCATGCGTCAGCCTAGAACTTGGGTAGCAGCGATGTCAGTCGCTAACCGCGTGGCTCATGAACGGTAGGTTCTCCTTGTTCCTCTAGATCTCGCTCGATTATACTTGCTCAACCTCCACAATCCAGCTAGGGCGATACGTTGAATACTCGTTCCGCTTTGAGGACATGGCAGAACCTAGAACAACCTTCTTCAAATACATGACGGATGGTATGCTTCTACGCGAAGCCATGAACTAACCCAGCCTTGAGCGATATCCCACCACCATTCTTGACGAAGCCCACGAATGCACCGTTGCCACCAATATCCTCATGGATCTTTTGAAAGCTACATTGTCATTTGCCGCCCTCTATGCCACCAACAATCAAGATTCGGAGTCTGTGGGTCCCCTTGCCTACATCTCTCTTCACTTTTCTCCCCCCGCAACAGATATTCGACGCACCTCTCGCTGCGCGGTTGTCTGATGGTCCGGGTATCTGGACGTAAAGTCGTTGTGTCGATGACCATTGCAGAAACTTCGCTGACAATCGACGGGAACGTTTATGTCGTGGCTCCGGGCTTTTAGAAGCAGAAGGTTCACAATCCGCGAATACGCGTGGAGAGCTTGCTCATCAGCCCCGTATGAAAAGCAGAGGACAGGACGTGCAGGACGTACGAGGCCGGGAAAGGCTTCCGGTTGTGCATCGAGAGGGATTCTATGTTCGAGCTGGAGGAGCAGACTCAAACAGAGATTTTGAGGAGTAATCAGAGTAGTACGGTGCTGGAATTGGCCAAATTTAGTTGGAATCAAGGTCAGTTCCCATCTTTCAAATGATTCTGCCATTTGACGAATTTGATTTGGTTAGGATCTTGTCTGATTGATTATGTCGATGTCCTCCACCTATGAGGTGCTCATGAGGGCACTAGAACTATTGAATCTTCTCGCGGCTCTAGACGACGGCGGGAACCTCGCTACCATAGGTGCTCGATGGGTTCCCTCTAGACCCTCAGGTAGATACCCACCATTAAGGTGAAGGGATTACATTCAACTAACTATTTCCATAGCTATCAAGCTGCTGATCGTTAGCCCAGATTTCAAATGCAATAATGAGATATTGGCGATCACCGCGAAGAAGCCAGGTATGCCATGGTCCTTTTTGACTGCCGCATCCTTCTAACAAAGAATATCCATAGTGTGGCTCTGACCGAACAATTAAACACCACACCCAAGGTTTGGGCCCAAAGCGGACATTGAAATTTATGCTATATAAGCTGTTGGTATGCGTGCTGCGAGATGCGTATATCCTTTGAACGCCCCTATTGACACAACATGGATCGATATCTGGGGAAGCCCCTTCCGTTCTTGCATGGTTGGCGGAAGATTCCAGGGGACGGCAGCTCGATTGGCGTCATTGTATTCTCCCCCGATGCGACGTTGATCGCCACTGGTGATGATAAAGGGATGTTGAGTGTGAGTCGCGTCAACGCCATGGATATCCACCTCCATGTCCTCACGTCCACTGGCATACAGATATGGCAGGCGGCCCCTGCGTGGAGGGTGATTCGGAAATACTTCCTGCGGTCCAGAATTCGGGGATTATGCTGGAATCCAATACACCAGCTCACTCTCTTCGTCGGTTGCGCGAGTGGTTGCCTCTATACGGTTCGTTTAATGGATATCGGGGTATGATTGCACCACGCTCAGTTTGATTATGTTATTCATACTCTTGAAAAGGAATCCGCCAACGTTCGACAGCTTCCGGGCTATATTCATTCATTAGCAATCAATGAAAGTGCTAGTAAATTGGCTATTGGATATACGAACGTTGAGGGTGTTCACATTGCCTTTGTTGAGGACCCATGTGGGGGTCAGTTTCGATTCTTCAGATCAGTGCTCATAGTTATTAACTAGCAAGAATCAGATCTCCAAAGGCCCTTTCACCATGTGCCCTTCTTGCAAGATCACCTCTCAATCAGCATCCCACATAACATGTATTTTTTGAATGAAGACGTCCTCTTGATTTCTTACTTCGGTCCGCTTGGCATCCAGTATGCGTTCACATATACATGTGGCGAACACAGTGAATTAATGACCTTCTGAAGTGCGCATCGTTCATCCCACCCTTACGAAAGGCTGTGGACAATCAAACCACGCCAAGATCGTTGGATGTGAGGCAATATGTTTTCTCCCTCTCGTCGACTTCCTTATTTTGACTCGGTATGCAGTGCTGGGGCCGCGCTATCGCCCTCTGGCTCAATTTTGGCCGCCACGAACATGGATGACGGCATCGATTGGTATTCCATTACAAGGCGTGAATACGTGAGCACAACATATTACGACGTTCAAGGGGCCAGTCGGTCCAGACGGCTAGTTGGGATAACATTTCTGGATGAGGTGACAGTTTTAGCAGGTCACGTTAATGGGCACATAGTTCTCGCAACCACGACCATGACCAGCGGCCCAAGGTTGTTCACGCTGCGAAGAAAACCCTCAAAATCAAACCGTGAGGACCTCCTTGCCCTTTGCACTCCTAATTTAATCCATCCATCGATAGTTGTTCAGGTGTTAGTAAGTGTTACCGCCGTGTCTTCCAATCAATATTGACTTCATCCACAATTCTAGCCGCGGGGCATCCGAGCAGGCGATTGTCATATCCTCGCCGCACTGGGAGAGGGCAGAGATACCACCTTTGTCGCTGCTTTTGTTACTTTCCCGGACGTATCCAAACCATGGGTCGACGATGTGATATAATCAACCTCCCCTTCCGCTCATGACTTTTCTCATTTTGCACACAGAGAATAAATCTTGAAATCAGTCAAGCGCCGTCCACCTTTATGAAGGTATGGTACAATGGTGTCTATGCTACCAATGATTTGCGATTCTAACCTGCACATTGATCATCCAGGCCCACAGAGAAGTGCATTTGCCGAAAATTATTTGAACTCTCCAATTCAATGATGATGTAGGCTTCATCTGAAGTAAACCTCAAACGTAACCGTTCTTCCCAACGTGTGCCGAAACAGGTTTGTTAGAATACTTGTGTTCGCACTCTTTCTTGTTGATGCCGCGCAGTCCAGCACATCGACAATTATACTATTATCGCTAGCAGCACTAGCCTCAATGCTCTTCATCTGGCACGATGTATTGCAAGCTCATCATGCAGGCTCTCGGCTGTCCAACAAAGTCAATCTCGAGCGGGATAGTAGGGAGCTTACGACTACCCCACCACCGGCATCCGCGGTGCAGACGACAATCAGTACTGTTTCATATACCACGACCACTATAACCACCACGATGACGGTGATATTACTTGCAAATCACACCGCAACAGTCGAAGAACCAACTACACACTCATCGGACACAGCATCAACTGCAATTCGCCTCGCAATGGCTTTGCTCGTGCCCATCTCGATACTCGCTTATTCCTCCTTCAAATCATCTCGCCTTGCCACCCCCTCTGACCCTGCTATGTTCAATGGGTCTCTTGACATAGCCCCTTTCACTCCGCCTGAGCCTATTCAGCCTACAACCCTTCGGGACCCCGAATGCGAAAAATTGCTGAGCCCTAGCGCAGCCCTCCAACGGCCTATTGGTCAAACTTCACTAACATTAGTGAGCGCGGAGGGGCAGGCAGACGATTCATGTCCAGGCTCCACAATTGAAATGGTTCCAGCAAACTGGCCTGGGGGTCCACTTAGCTGTGATGAGGAAACGTTGATTCCACAGGATGTAGATGGCGCACCGCGGATAAACTCTCCCGACTGCCAACTGCCTCCTAATCATTCCTCACCAACCACTATTGACGAACATCGTCGAGTTACTGAGGATGCTCGAGCGGGTGATGGGAGGACTGACGACTCAAATACAAATTCAGACCCTAGGACTGTATTGCCGGATATGCAGAAGGCACCAAGAAGCATGCCTGAAGGGCCGGGCATGCGTCGCCGGTTTGAGGAAGATTTTGCCCTTCCATCAATTCCAGATGAGGAGATCATAATTGATCCAACTCCCGAGGTCGACAATACGGAGAGGCTTGCGGTGCTTGACCAGAGATTAAAAGACTTGAACGAATCTTGGGCGACGTGGATGAAGGAGGTCGATGAAATGATAGGATACAACAAGAACTCCTTCGGCGGTACACAAGAAATATCGTAAGCAAACATTATGCAGAAACTGATAGTAAGATATCCGTCTACATCAAACTAAGGCTTATCGATTAGTTGACTCGAGAGCCAACCTCGACGGACCGTAGCGCATCATAATCATTACACTTGTATACTTAGTTTGTTACACAATCTATCTCTATATATGATGTGTTTAAATTGTTTTCGGAGCTCGCCTTTGTCACAGCGGTCACCTTTACACGTGATGGTACGAAACAATTTCAACAATCAACTCTCCTGGCCATGAACACTCCACTTACCTCATGCCTTTGAATTCTGGCGATCGTATTATGCGGCATGGACGCGCCTGAGGATCTTCGAAAGTTCGTAATATTTTTCATTTCTTGCTTCGCGCCCATGGCGAGTTCGAATCCGCTTTTGTATCCTGCAAGGTTGATCTTCGACGCGAATACTCGAGCCCGGGAATACGTGTTTGAAGTCCAACTTCTGGGGAGTTACATCTGCTGGATTGTTAATCTCAGGGAATCATGCGATGTGATCCCGGGAATATGGTGCCCCTCCGGCGCGAACGCGAAGCCTCTCATAAGAACGGTGGAAGCTATATATGACTGACATACCTTTACCATATAGACATGCCCTTTACATTCTACCAAGGGACCGCGATTTTGACTTCGATAGCCTTCTTCAAACCGTTCAAGACGAGTGCAATGGGGACGACCCCTTTGGCTCGAACTCACCCCTCACAAGCCCGGAAGCATCGCCGCCTCCTTCTCCTGCTCTCCTCCCACAGGAAGTGACTTCCACAGATCCCATCTTCGAAATGGATCAGTCAGGCGTAGGCCCCATCCGTCAGACCAAGTCAAATCACGCCAAGCGTCAGGGCCATAGCAGCAGGCGGAAGAGGCGCAAAGAGGATAAAGACCGAAAGAACTTGAATAATGAGGCTGCTATATACGAGCCGCGGGCCTCCAGCAGCAGCAAACACATTCGACCATCTTCTGCCCTTCACACAGATGTGGACAGCGAAAACCAACTCCTCGCTGCATCGACGGGTTATGTAGGCGCTAGGGGGTCCGGAAGGGGTGGCCGAAGGATGCTTCCACTTCAGATCTTTATTGAGCCAAATTCTCGCTTTGGGCTTGAGCTCAAGCATTGGGATGGAAGGTATGGTTCGATGTGTTCCTCCGTCACCCCCTGACTTTTGTGCTTAGGGTCTCTATCCCAATCCTCGATCAGAAACGTCGTGTCATTGCTGTTCTTGTAGGTTGCCCCGGCAACGGCGTTGGTCACTCGGGGGTCACTCGGGAGTGGCAGCGATTAAATGAATTGGCGTGCCAAGCTCTGGAAGATGCTAGATCGAAGCTCACCTTCAGCTCGAAAGAGAAGGTACACCGCCGCGGTCGATTTCCTGCACTCGGTGTTGGTATATCTCACGGCAGCGGGCAAACTCGGCCTGGAAACCTCCACCACTCCTCACATAACATGGCGATTCTTCAACAACTGCTTGCTAATGAGGCGTTCATTCGACTTTCTGGGTTTGTAATCGGTACGTTATATGTATCCTTCTACGTTTAAACTCATCTGAACCCCGTCGACCTTACTAGGAGCCTTCGGGACATGGGCCCCAAAGCTCCATGCCTATTACGTTGAAACCCTCAACAAGTTGCTCAAGCATGACCCTAACCTGTTCCTAAACTTTGCTAATGGCGTCTGGGCTGCAGCCACCTTCAATTTCGGCCCCAAAACCGTCTGCTTTAAGCACAAAGACTGCGCAAACCTTCCGCATGGTTGGTGTGGCATAACGGCGCTTGGGAATTTCAACCCAAATCTGGGGGGCCACATTATCTTCTGGCAGCTCGGCCTCATTATCCAGTTTCCCCCAGCATCAAGCATTTTGGTTCCTTCAGCGTCCGTGGACCATCAAAATGTGCCCATTGGGGCAGACGAGCGCAGGTATTCATTTACGCAGTACACCGCCGGCGCACTATTTAGATGGGCTGAACACGGCTTCCAAAAAGAAGAAGAGTATCTTGGGTCATTGACGGCGAAGGGGCGGGAGCAGGAGTTGAAGAGAATGTCGGAAATGATGAAGAAGGGTTTGAACATGTTTTCTACGATTGATGAACTAGCTCAAAGTAAATAAATATGTATGGTACTTAGATTGGTTTCCAACAATGTGTGAGGCACCACTTGATCGCCAGTCGAATGTTATATAAACAGAACGAGAGGTACTGCAGGAAAGCTACATTAGTGACTCGGAGATGAAAGACGCTTGCGTTTTTTCGATTTTCTAGCCCCCAGCTTTTCAGGAATAATCCCACCTTTCGAGGAGTTTTTCTCCGGATATGCACGGAGCGGAGTGAGGTTGCTGCGTGACGAGGGTAACGGCGCGCGGCAAAACGGCAGGAAGTAGAACAATCGCTATTCTACTGAATTTCTACATGTACAAAAAATGGTGATATACAATATAAGTAACTCATTGGGCCTCCATGTTGCTCGATTCTGCCTCCATCTCCTCATGAGAGACTTTCTCCAAATCCGACATTAGCTCCGCCTTGATCTGCAATGCGCAGTCATCCCTTTCGACCAACAAATCTGCGTTAGCTGGAGCTCCTTCGGTTTCTTGGCTGAAGCTTACATTTCAACTGGCCCCGTCAACCCTAAATCTTCCCCACTTCTTTTCGCCGCTGCTTCAGTGGGTTTTACCCATCGGAATTTGCCAATGATATCTTCGACCCAATTGCGGCCAGCAATCAACAACTTTGGGTCATACACCACTAACGCGCCAAACGCCGCCGCAGCGACAACAAGGAGAAGGGCGGTTGTAGTGGTCACGCATGGACCTCCACCTGGGACCGGAACGTTACCTGGAGCAGCAGTTACCGATTCGTGATTGAATTCCGTGACGATATTTATAATCGTCTTTGTTTCGGTCGCAGTAGATACGACAGTCACTGTCTCGATGTTGGCGGGGAGCTGTAGAGTTTCTGTTGGGGCGGGGGCAAGGTACAAGCCGGTAGGCTGAGAGGCTCTAGTTGTACCAGCGATGGCAGGTTCTGCCCTCGTGTTACTCAGGCTCCATGCGGTTTCTGCCCACAGCTCCAGTTCATCGGCAAGCCTCGCAGCCTCCCCAGATGCTCTAAGAGTTTTGATGTAAGGAGCCAATTGGGACGCCACAGGTTTAGAAGCCCAGTAAATGAGGATGGAACATGGGATGGACAAAATGACGAGGACTCGTGGCCATTTCCTAGTTCTGAGCCTGTCTTCAGGCGATATAACCTGCCAAAGTGTTTAGCATTACGAGACAATAGCATCATGATCAGGAGAATAACTACTTCGGCGGGTTTCGCACTCGCGGGCACTTGTTGAGTTTCCTAAGCAATTCCATGTATTAAACCGTCGTATACGTAGAGGAAAGTTTATGGATGAAAAGACATACTGTGGCGATAGCTCCGATTGATGCTGATGGCTCTGAAGTGGGCGCTGACGGCTTCGATGCTGACGGCTTAGACGACGCTGACGGCTTAGACGACGCTGACGGCTTAGACGACGCTGACGGCTCAAACGACGCTGACGGCACACGACGACGGCTCAAACGACGCTGACGGCACAGACGACGCTGGCGGTCCAGTTCCTCGGATTTCCTTCCCCTGAGCAAACCTGTGGATTATACATAATTGAAACCAAGAAATACATAACTTACGTGACCAACTGCCATTGGGCCATCCACGGCACTGGCGAAAGGAAGGACTAGCTTCAGTATCACCAAATTTGCAGACTCCTTTTCGCTTTGCGTGAGCAGGACAGTTGGAATACCCGCGGGTCGTCCAAATTCCTAATTTGATCAAGTTTAGCTAACTTGAACGTGTATCCAAGGCTCAGACCCACAACTATCTGTGTGACTAGATTGTTCTGCCAGATTAGTACATATGTCACATGTACATGCGCGAAATGGTGACTGACGCGTGGAATCTCCAGGTCGTTTGCTTTCCGCCTCATCGAAACGGACGGGGGAGTTCATCGTAGGTCTTGCCAAAACGACTCCTCCATCTGGATGACCTGCAACCACCGTGTCATTGTCGACAAAATCCAGGCCCACAACCCTGATGGAACCGTCTTTCCCCTTGATGTCGTAACGAGTGGAGCTTATGTAGGTTTGCGTTTTGACAGAATACCAGTCTATGCCGTCACTTAAATTTGTAGCGGCTACGAAATCTTTAAGGGGAGAAAGTGCAATTCTCCCCCTTGATAGTGGCACCGAGTCAATAAAATTCTGATAAGCGCTTTCGCTTGACTTACATATATGGGTGATCTTGGCGCGGTTGAATGCTCCAGAGGGCTTGATAAGGAGCTTGCGTAGAATACAATCTTGATTGGACTTCCCTCAATATAGGTGTGTTTGAAAGGGTGGGTACTTACGATATGCCAAAATGAAGAAAACCAACGAGGACGGATTCGGGCTCTAGGTAGGTTACCGTGTGTGGTACGAGACTGGTTGCTCGCCTAGTGGTGATTGGAAGCCTTTTGAAAGGACGGTGGAGTTCTTGACTTTGCGTCAGGGTGCTGACAAGGATAAGAAACACCGCTTTGAGCTTACCTGAAACAGGATCATCCACTAGGACGACAGAGACTTCCCTCTCGCTGGTAAATCCCACTGCAAGTTGGGACCCATCGACGTTTGCGCTGATGGCTTGGATAAAGCCGGAGTACTCCCTCCGTAAGATCGAGTCTGCCTGGTGGTTCAACGTCTGAGAGTCCAATGTGTTTGAAGCAAAGTAGAAACCTACCCCTTGGGACTTAACGGAAATGGCATACAGATTTCCTGCTGCATTCCCCACGAAGAGGGTGAGGGGTTGGGTGGGATGCCAGACAATAGCTCTAATTTTAGATCCTGCGTTGAATTTGCGAATTATCGCCCAGTTCTCTGAGAAGCGGATCTACAAATATATATAATTCGATTAAAATCAAGGCGCAGACAGCTGTTGTGAGCCTCGTGCTTACCACAATGCAACCTTTATCATCTCCAGTCGCAACGTAGGTGCCTTCTGGAGAAAAGGCAACTGCGCCAATGGAGCACTTGTCGACCATTAGGGTTCCCTCCCTGTGAATTGCTCTTTGGAACGAGGAGTCCCCTGAACGCAATGGAAGATAGTTGTGCATCGATATCGGATGTGGATGTATACGCTGCTTGAGTGAGCCTGTAACGTTGAGTGCGGCAGAACAAGACGGCAGAATATTGTGGGTTCGATCGCTCGAAAACACGCCAGGTACTGCAAGGGCCTGGATGTAAGTAATATTATAGGCGAGTTCAAAATTCCATATATGCCATGACCATGCAGCCGCAGAACATGATCATGAGTCTATACACATGTTCCATGTACTTGCCATGTACGTACGTACAGGCACAACCATGATCATGACCAATTGAAAGTTCGAATTCGAATCTAGTTAGCTCATCATGATCAGGATCGATATCAATATTCTGGAAGAAGTATAGCATACCATGATGATCAAGCGATCGGGCAGAAATGCGGGGCATGCCACCATGCCATTGACCTAGATTTTCCACCATATATATATATGGACCACTCCGGAATATATCTATCTATCTATCTAAGTATATATGCAGTATATGTATATACAAGATATCATAGACAAACGTGAATATCTAAACCTTATAGATTAGTATACTGCCACGATCATGATCAACGGACATATATGCGTCTAGATCTGCATCCGAATTCATGTTGTTGTTCATGATATGATCATGATCACACAATATAGTTTTTGTATCATGATCATCGATATCCCACTTGATCAAAGGCCTATATATAGGATCCTCCGAATATACGTTCAAATTCTTTGCATAAATTTGTGTTCAAGTGAGATATGTATGTGGTCATGGTCATAAGGGCACACTGGCAAACAGATGGGTAGACTTAGAGGGGGTATGGAGACTGATTATAAAGCGCCTGCCTCTTAGAAGCTGACACACAACGTTTAACTTAGGAGGGACTGACCGTAACGCAAGCACTTGGTGCATTTCCTGTATCCAGCGCTTCCATGATACGGGAGATAAACCTTTTTCATGATTGGGAAAGAGTAAGAAGGGGGCAGACGATCCTAGAAGCACTGTTACTCACAAAGCGATGGCTAAATTGATGTTTTTCTTTTTGATGGCGCGGGGATTGGAGAGAAAAGGGACTCGCTTTCCAACGCTGAACACGGCGATCTCCCCCGGCCAGGGGATACTGGAGGGGATGTCTGCGAGGGACTCGTTCGGTGGGAGCGTTTCAAGTCTGTAGCCGTAGACAACGAGCTGGTCGGAACCGATGGTCACTTTTACACGCCGGATGATGGGAGTGAGAGGCGTCCCAAAAAGTTGAAACTTTTGCAGGACATGGACGTCGGGCAAGCGCTCGCCTTGCCGATGGGAGACTGGGAAAGCTTCCAGTTTCCCACCTGAGCTGCCAAATGGGAAATGGAGCCCGAAGACGAAGTTTACCTATTGGGGTGAATACAAAGTTAGAGATGTGCATGAATGACCCAAGAGAAAAATTCGAGTGATGCATCTCATTCGAATTCGAATTTCTCACTCCTGTGCTGGCTGGTGCGCGCGCACGTCTGGATGTCGATCCCCTAGCCTGCACATACATCAGCATCGATTCATATCGTCCCCGAAGACCTAAATCAATCGTCGAAAAATTGAAACGTGAGCGCACCATGGTATATATTTGAGTGTTTTGCGCGATTGTAGCACTCGTGAACGCGCAGGCAGGCAGGCAGTACGTACTCTGCAGGCTGATGGCGACTTATAAGGAAGAGATCTGGATATGTGTGACGTTCGTACACATGTTGGCGTGGCCGTGGCCCTCAGATCTCCGGAGATCATGTACGCTGTATGTGCATGTACATGTATGCGCATACGCGGCATACGCTGCAGGGATCTCAAATAATATTCAAATAGAAAGCTTGACAGTTGATCATGTTACTGGTCAACTGGGGATGCGTACATATACGCACCTTGGCAATGCAGCACGTTTCGTGCGAATGCGTCTAGATCTACCATAGTACTAGCCATAGCTGGCCAGTATCATTGATCGATATCGATGTAGAGCCTTCGGAGGACAAAAATCTGAAAAGTATAGTAGCAGGGCTTTAAATTTCACCGTAATATCATCGATCCAAATCAAGTCTTTAAATTCGAAACACGTACATTGCATCTAGAAGAGCTAGGCCTGTCCTCGATCGCAGTATCCAGGCGCGCCGTGCATACGGCTCCCATGGCCAACTAGCTATAGACACTGTTATCGGTGCCACGCACGCTGATCATGAGCCCGCTGCGCGCTAGTACGCACTAGCTACTAGTATAGTCCCAGTGCAGCAGTGCTTGTACGTACATGCATAAGGCTGCAAGCTTGCGGCCGCGGTCTTGTGGAATCGAGGGTTGAACACTGAAAATTTGCGCCACGACCTGCCTAGTCCGGATAAAGCTCGGTTGCAGGGGTTCATGCTCTAGATCTATTCTATCGAAGCTCGCTCCGCACTTGGGATTGAACATGAGGCATATAGCTAGTCAACTTACGGTCCATATATATATGCATGTACATCATCGAGCCTCAACCCATGGCAATGGGGTTTAGAACGTGTGCCAGCCCTGCCAGACGTGCCTTGGCAAAGCCTCATGAGTTCGCCGCATGCGCATAAATTTGAGCTTAAGCTTGGACGTGGATGGGCCCGGGGGGCCCACGAGTTAAGGGTAATTAGAGAAGGTGATCACGACGCGGGCCAATCGATCGAGTGCCGGCCGCGAGGCATGTCCAAATATATAATATATATCGATGGGCATGTACTAAGTCTATCCACACATGTGCGCAACATATATGTCGGATTCGAAGGGGAATGCAGCTGATCATGATCATGCATGGCGGACTGGCCTCCACCAGCCAGCTCAATATCCGCGAAAATATTCATTTGCGTTAGCGCTGCATCTCGAGACTTGAGTTCGGGATTTGATCATGAGACTAGCACCAGCCATGACCACCACATCGCGCTGATGCAGTCCGATATTGATATCATTATCATTAATTTCACTGCATGGTGGGACCATTGATTATGCGCGTACGGTTGGCCATGGAGAGTCTATCGGCCGCCCGATTTTCTCCTGACTTCAGTTGCAAGTGCATATGCATGCAGTGGAGGACACCTAAATCCGGATCCGGAATACCCTAGTCAGGGTTTTTTTTTCACGCGCTAATTAGTGGAGACCTCACAAATATTCACTCTTGATTTGTTCGGCACTAGATCAGGTCCAGAAAAATTGGCGGCGCTTTCCAATCAATTGCAAGGATGTCGGGATTGAGACAGTGGCCACAGTAAATATGCAGGGGCGGAAGTCCTCGAAGGAGCGGAGGACATCAGCTCCTGCAAGGGGAGCTGGAGTGCAAATTGGCGCGGATTGACACACAAGAAGTTGCCAACTTCTTCGGGGATCTGCTTCTGAATTTCGGCGACTTTTTTGGAGCGAAGAGCTGCAGCAATTGTCCAGATCTAAACAAGTCAATCAATTTAACGTAATGTCAACCTTGAGGAGATCGGGGACAGGTGGCTGCTAAACGTCCACAACTATGACGCCTAGGCCTCACGTCATCCGGTGCGCATCCCTCCAGTGTACATGTCTGAAGGTCCACTGGACCGTAGGTTCATAGAATCGTGATGTTCAAACAAACAAATAATGTTCAAGCACCCTGGCAGCCGCAAGATGGGTGAGCATAATGAGATGAAGTAGTGGAGGTGCCGAGAAAATGTGTATTATAGATCCAGAGGCAGGGTAGCCAACTCGGGAATTACATCTTTCCAATGAGCTCCACCCGGCGGCAAAAGGCCGGCCACTGAGCTTTCAAAGAGAAGTGTTGAGGATGAAGCGATCAATTTATAGGCCTGTCAGTGTTCAATCGCCCAGCAGCTGCCAGCGACGATGTCGCCATTATTCAGTGACCGGGGTAGAATTCGTGATAATTCGAGTTTGGCAACCACAGTTCATAAAACCTACCAACGCGATAAGCACTGCGTTGCCGATGACAGATAGTTATGACAAGTTCCAGATATGCTGATTGAAATCTTAGAGCCCCAATCTGATCAGCCCCCAATTTGAAGTAAAATGGAGCACGCAGAAGAGGAAATCCAGACAATGATATCAAGGTGGTGATCAATCAGTATCGAGACTTTCTATGATCAAAAAAAAGCTTCCAGATCCGCTCCTCTGCCCAAGTCGAATGATAACATTAACTAAGGTGCTTGTAAGCATGGTTTTGTGGGAGAATTTCAGAAATTTGGCAGCTTACCCGGTCCAACGGCAGGACATGTATGAGATGTTCATAGCCCTCCTCTTGCATCTCAGTCAAAGCGAAGTGGGACACCACCTGGGAAACCTCCAGGATGTGCAGCGATGCCGGGACTCTCTGGCATAGATATCCACCAGCAAAACCAAACTCGCGGAATATGTCAGCAGGATCCCTAGCAGGGTCCAACAACTGGTATTCTCGGACAACCAGGTAGGACCTCATCAATCCTGTATGCTGGAAGATTGCTTCAACTCTCCCTGCTCTGTGTGTATGATTCCGGTCTTCATTGTGGTGAGAGGGACCTCGCAACTGGAATATGATGTTACTGTCCCGAAATGCAGGGGATGACCAAGTCCCGTAAGATACGCCACGAATACCAATCCACTTCATTGCGAGACAATGAGGATCTGGAAGAGGTGCCAGCGGTGTAGAGAGACGGATGTGACCACAAAGAAGCTGGTAAGGCTCTCCGTCGAGCTTGAACGGCTTTGCGTTTGCGTCAGGCGTATATCCTGGATTTGCGGGATCCAGCATACTTGCACGACGAAAACCTCGAATATCCTCTTTTTCAATCGACTCAATGGTTGATAGCATATCCACTACGGTTTCGCGCACTGCATCGTCGTCAGAAAGGATTCCGCGGAGGTTGGCAGCACGAGTCGACATCTTCATGAAAGTCGACTCCACTTCGCCTGGAAAAATGTCATTGAGTCCTGAAGATGGGACCGACACAAGAACATACCGAGTTTTTGATTAGTGTTGATGCGGTGAAAAAAGTTGATATAACGTTCGAAAAAGAATCCGCTGCGCGAGTGGACGGGACCAAAAAGATCCAGCAAGTCTCCAAGGTGGAGCGCCGCGTGGTGGACAGGACGAAGACGCTGATCAGGGAATAGGTTTTTTATCCCAGCAACGTAACGAAAGATGTGATGTTCATATGCTGCAATCTGCTCCCGCGAAGAGGAGCGCATATTGAGGATGGAGCTCGCACTGGCTAGGTGCATAAAGTTAGCAAGTAATTCACGTTTGCGGCCAGTCTCGTTTCCCCAAAGCCGAATTAACGTGATGGGGAGATGGACAGTGCAAATCACAAGCCAATTGTCTGCACTTAGCTTCCCCCTCTTGGTAGTCCCCCAGTTATGGGGTGCAGGGGTAATCCAGGATGGGAGCAGCGTTCGCTTCATATCCTGCCACACAGCTTGCATCACATCTTTCCCAATGACAGCGCGAACGGGGGGCGGCTCAGGGAGGAACGACTGCAGTAATACATATTTTTGTGGATCTTCGTCAATCTGGAGTAGTAAGGTTAGCGAGAGCATTGATTGTTCGATTGCTTAGGCCTCACATTGGCACAGATAAGATCAAACAGAGCTTGCTTTCTCATTCCTTCATGCGGGAGACCTAGGTTGTCGCAAATATGACCTAAAACGTCCCCCTTCGACGCCTGAAAAGCTCTCGTTCGGCTAGAATCCCTATCACTTCTGTCCAAAAGATGCCGGATGATGCGAAGATACGTGGATCCATGGCCCAGAGTGGGTTCAGTGATATCTGTTCTTTGTTCCTCCAGTTCAGGCACCTGAGCAGCTGCAGCAGGAGGCGCGGCGGCATCAGTGTCATCTTCCACTGTAATAGGGGAAGACAAAAATGCTTCCAGGTCCACATTATGGGTTTCTTGTCTCTGTAGTGTACATTACCAGTCTTAGTCAATAGTCGCACCCCAAGGACATGTAAACATACCCAGCGAAATATGTTATTAGCTAAAATCCACTTTGTTCCCACAATGAGTTTATGTCCTTCCCCTTGTATCTTGTTGTCAACGCAAAATGTGTAGAGAACCTTGCGCCGTAGGGACAGGAGTTCATACAGCATCCTCGCTTCATTCAGACGAACAAGCTTTTGGCACCGTTTGAACCCTGAATCCGCCCGACTGACGCATTTTTCAGGTGTTAGCGGTGCTTCGGTCAACCCGTCACCGCCATGATCTACTTCCAAATTGATTTGAAAATACTCTCGAACCTGGATGTCATGAAGGTTCTCAAGTACGTGCATAGAGTCGACAATGGCATATAAGATCGGATTGAAGTAAGGGAGATTCAGAAGCGGTGACCATCGTAAGCCGCATGCCTTGAAGATATTTTCACGGTCCCTTTCGCTCATGGCATCTCTCCACAGTTCGGCGAAGCGGCGCATATGAGTGAGGTTTTTGGACGGCCACTCTGCTTTTTCCAGTACCTCAATGTCGTCAATGTCAAGATCGCAAAAGGTGCAGAAGTAATGCGCGGTTGGAGCTGCGAATCCCAATGCCTGACGTAGAGCGAGCATATCGGAAATAACTGGAATGAGCATCGCTTTGTAAAGCTTACCAAGCCGATGTTTGTAAGTTCGGGAAAAAAAGACACCCGGTGCCCAAAACTCGAGAAGATCTTCGACGACAAGCTGAAGATATGGGTTTATTTGCTCTTTCGATGGCTTATCTGGACCTGGTATAACCCCAACAAGAAACATGTTTTCCTGAAGGAACCGAAGGTGTTCAGGAAAGTTGAGACAGACCAGCCACATTCCAGTTGAAGATACTTGTTGCTTCGCAGTTTTCATGCCAAAAGTATTGAAGCTATCCATGGCGAAGCTGAAGATTAATCGTCCTTCTCCAGCTGGACCAGGATAAAAACGGAGTCCGGCGCTGTCTTTGAGGTTTAGAAATACCTTGGAAAGCCAGATGTCATTGACGGATGCATTTGGGTCCATGGAGGGTATATGAGGCTGGCTGTCAAGCAGATCCTCAATTCCCTTACGCGATAAGAGTCTGCCCAGCCATGACTTGAGGTCATGATGTAGGTATATTTTCTTGGGCGCAAGCTTTGTAGCACCACCATAGATGGCGCGCCGCTCCCATAATGACGTGCCACATAGGGGACTTGAAGGCGTTTGTCGATGACCACAGTGGGAAATAGCAGGATCACCTTGTGGGGACAAATCACTAGGTCTGATCGGAAAGATGTGGTGACATTTAGGACAGGACAGAAACGGGCGGGTAATAGCGTCAAGGTCGAAGAGAGAAGACAAAGTGCGCGGATCCTTAGGGATCGCGCTCGCTGTGTTAGAAAGGGGATCCACGTTCCTAAGGATATCTCGAAGGCCCGCAAGGTGTGCGCGAAGGGCTCTGCGCGGTGTGAAGTAGATGTTCTCCAAGACCAAGGATACGAGGGATGCTGCCCTCAAGGCAGCGTTTTGAGGCCCTTGTCGGAAGAAGAAATTCTCTAGCTAAAATTAGCAAGGGCCTCTGTAAAATTGATCGAATTCACCTGTATTGAAGACCACCATATCGCCAGTCTGATGAGAGCGCTGTTGCGCCCATTGCATTCCCTTCTGCCGATTGATGCGGCGCAATTCATTATAGATGTTATCTTTCAAAGCTTGAATTTCAGCAGCCGGGTTCATCGTTGAGAGCATAGAGAATAGTTCGCAAAAACGATTCTCGGTTTCAAGATATGCCGCATTCATGCGATGGCCAGGATGCAGCGCGTGAACCCCTACGTTGGGTCTCACCAATTGTGCGTCGGAGGGCTCAGTATATGGCCCATTCAACTCTGTAGAACGCAAGAACACAAAAGCTTCAGAAGGACTGAAAACTGGAAGGTGTGAGCGGCAGTCAACCTCAGATTCGATGAGGGTGATCCAAGTTGAGGTCGGCGCTCCCAGGGGGTAGTCAGCGTTCTGATCAATCCTAGGCCTGCTGGAACGAGTGTTTGTTCGGTTGTGGATACGCCTTTTATCCTCTCGAACATGATTATCGCGGGTGCTGCGGGGAACAATGTTTCCTCTGCCGTCGTAAAGGCCCGTAACCACATTGTATACCGTACAGTGGCTTCGACAGCGGCAGATGCAAGTTCCCGAACGTTTTCTGTTTGAAGAGGCCGAGTTCCTTGCAAACATCTGGATGAGGAATCTGCCTAAGGAATCTGCCTATAGATACGTTGAGATATCGCTCAACTATGACAAGACCGTAGATGCGCATAATTATAACTCACGAGATTAATGACTGCCCTTCAAACGCGCTTCAAGTTGTGCTAATCATGAATTATGATAAGTGCACATGCACATCTGGCCATGGCCATGCACCAACCACGCCGCACGATCTGCACGTGAGATACATGGCGCCGGACTGGAGCAGTAGACATGACAGCAAACACTAAATAACTCGAGTAGGCAATGCTCGGAGTCTGAGTAAGAGATGCTGGCAAGAAGTACTATGGTTATATAACAATGGCAGCATCTTAAAATTATACTGCCGAAGTCCCTCCTCTTCGGGGGTCATTCCAAGCGCAGATGCGGGCTCCAACAAGCTCGCCAGCGCCTTCAAGCTGCGTATCCCAGCCGCAGCTACACGACGGTCCCAGATGGCTGGAAGGTCGTCAGAGTAGAGGTTTTGGAGGAGGATGAGGATGATGAAAGGGTGGCAGCCCGAGATGGATAAGTGGGTGGATATTGCTTTTGACGAGAATGCGAAGAGTGATGCATGATTACGATTGAACACCTTTCCCAGCCAACACCCTCCTGAAAACATGCGAACGCGCAGCGAGGACCACTCGGTGTGCTAGAAACTTCGGTCGGTGGCGGAAAGGATGACATCCGGAACAGCATGAGGAAAGCGAGTATCCAGTTGGACACCACCAGCACCACCTTCTCAGGCCGCACACCACCCAAATGCTCCTCCACTCCCCAGCTCAATCTCCCTAGGTCGATGATCCGCCCGAAGTGCACCATGCGCCCCGTACTATTCGCACACACTCGCGCAACTCGCTGAAGGTACTTTGAGCGCTGGATCTTGAACGTTTTTCTGTACCTCATGGCCCGCTTCAACTTGAGTTTTTGCTGCCTGAGGCGGAGGCGGAGGAGGCAGAGACAGAACGGGCGCGCATGCGCACGAAGACATGTCCTACTTCTGCGCATACTATGATCGAAGCCCCCGCAATCACCGGCTGAGAGGCTGCCTGACGATGGTACATTTTTTGCTGCAGTGTTTGATGACGATGTGGACGCGAGAGAGGGAGAGGAAAATGCTCCTCTGGCCATTTTCGGTAAAACAACGTCAATGGTGATTCCTCTTGAAAAAGGTCTAAATGATGCGCTCCTTTCCATTCATCTCATGCAGCGGCGCTCTTGTCGAGCCTTTGAACAAGCCGGCTGACTCATTTCATCGTGGGTCGTGCACTCCAGCATCAATCGGCCCTTGAGTCCTTGAGTAGAGAATGGGAAGCGTGGAGGAGCGAAAGACCGCCGCTCTTGAGATTGGCAGCGACATCGGCAGCTACAGACTCCAGGAATCTCCAGGCCCATACTCGTAGCCGCTGGGGGGAGGTCAGAGCTGATATGGTTTGAAAAACAGAAGGGCTTACTACCGATGAGAACTCGCTGGATGAGCAGAAGGCCCAAGGTTGCAATTGCAGAAAGTATGGCTATGCCGATCATCAATTGGCGCTAACATCAGCAATAGGAAGAGAAACATACTGGTACTCCCATGCGGCAGCAGCCAGCTCGTTACGCACCGCATTCGCTTCATGATCACCACCACAACGAAGACTAATGCCCGCTCATGCACATAAGTCAGAAATCCGCAGAGTCGCCCTTTAAAGCACGCGCGGAGCGACTCGGCAAGACCAGAGTCCCTACCGCGCGGCGCTTAGTCCTTGGCGACCCACCCGAGGAAAGGGCCCATATCCAAGATCTAGAGTGGAATATCGGTTCATGTTCATGTTGAAAATTGAGAGGAGAGGGAACTGTGCGTCACGTCGGTCACATCACATTCCGTGCAATAAGCCAAATTAGCGATTAATTACTTGAAGATCCAGAGAGAGTTGGCACGTTGATTCGAAGGAGGGGATACATATACATTCGTAACTAATGCATTGAGATATCTTTACATTGTGAAATTGAAATTGATGGCACATTCCTACCCAGACCGCTTCCTGTCATTAAAGCTCTTTAACAGGATGTAGGTGGGTTTGGGCTCGCGCGCGGTTGAAGGCACGAGAACGTATCCTGGGATTGAGGGATGGTGTATTTTGCCGTGATTATAGCCATCGGTCACATTGACCCACGTGTCTTCCCTATATTGCCAGATCATGAACGTCGTTGAGGCTTCAAAACCCCCCCCTTGATCAGGAGTGCTATGCTCAAATACATCACCGTATGTGAATTTTTGGTCTTCCAGCGCACTCGTCGGTGGAGCTTCAAAGCTATGCAACGAATATGTCGCAACAAACCGAAAGAACCCATGAACGTGACTGTTGTTGTTTCCGATTGTGCGCACTTGGTCGGTTACAACCTCGATCTCCACAGTCACAGGGGGAGCTGACGAGCTTGGAGGAGCGGCTGCGGGTGCAATCGGGGCAGCTGGAACTAATGAGGACGCTGCCTTGAATCTTCAATCGGCTGAATTAGATGGTGAGTCCCACTCGTAGGAGGAGAAAAACATGCCGGCGAAGTCTTGCTTGTGAATCCCCTTGTTGTTGTTGCTTTATGGGCTTTGGTTGTGTTCTGTTGGCATGGTTTGCCAGCAAGTTCATAACAGCCGATGCTTTTTTACTGATTCGAAAAAAATGACGTTCAGGTCTCATGCTTCTTCTACAGGATTTTACATACCGGGAAGGTGCTGGTGCTTGGCTGGGTGGATATGAAGTAGAGATTGGCGTGTGGGAAGCCACTCTGCGAGATAGCGGTGCCGGTGTCGAGGTCGATGCGTATCCTGCAGGAATCCCCGATTGGTCCAGTCTGACAAAAGAGCTTAATTGAGGCGGGGCAGAGAAGAAGGCTAACTTTACAACCTGACAGGATTGCTGCTCTTAGGCGTATCGGTCCTTTCAATAGATTCTTTTCTGAGCGTCGCTAATTAGAAGGCAGTCAATTCACTCACATACGCTGGATCATCTCCCCCAAAGCGTGCTGGATATTTTGTGCGGCAGCAAGCTGCCCCGCACCCCCAATGGTATTTCTAAAAAATTGGCATGTGTTAACGCTCTTCGAATTCTGGAGGCGAGAGGAAACTCCTTACAAATCTTCAGGATCAAGGCCTTCCTGGAATTGAGATGTCGCATTTGCCCAGTGAGTCTCATCCTCATCGCTACTGGATCTGGGAGGTTTGGTCAGCATCATTGCCACTCTCGGCCACTGCTGAGAAGCAAATCCTTACACTTCCATTGCTCGTGATTTCTGACGATGACGTGTCGTAGCCAGCGGCTGGACGTTGACATCCCCCCCACCTCTGAAAACTCAATTTAATGCTATGCAGTTCTTAGAACAACTGGGGTGTCTCACCAGGCATATTTATCAGTGATTGTTGATTCCAACAGGTGGCGTGCAGTGGCACCCTCACTGGCAATTCTGGGTTTCAGCATCTCTATAACAGATGGAGGCAGCTTACGGTTCGTAAACATCATTTGCAAGCGCATTCATTCTGGGTCGGCTTAGAGGCGTAGTCGGAGGACGAAAAGCAGAGCTGGGATAGTGCCCCGGTAAAGTGGGTGAGCGAATTTCGGGGGTGGAAGGGACATTCGGCCTCGTAAAGAGGAGCTTGTTGAATATCGAAAGGTCTGAGAATGACATTGTCAAAATCTGCACGCTGTTAATGAATAGTAGACGTGACAGAGAGGTTAGAATATACGTCGTCATCCCCTGGAGCAGAAGCATAGGGGAAGGCAGGATAGGCTGCCATCTCTCGTCCCTCCAACTCTACCACATCGCTATTCGGTTCAAGGCGTATATCTGAGGGTGCCATGATAAAGGGAGTGGGACAGAAATGAGCAAAGAATTCGAAATCATAAAGGCATACTCATATATAGATGTATCGCACGCTGGTTGTCATATCATTGTACATATCGGGCGGTATAATCAATCATGATCAGATCTAGAACATGTGCAATCAGTATAATAGACTATCCAGATGGGCATAATATGTTGCGGCGCACATGAACATGTGTGCACACACTTTCGTACCTGGATATATACCATAATTGATCACATGTACACGGTACTTGAATTTCTAAGCTCTGGATTTTGCTGTTTGGCTGTGTTGAATTGAGAAGGATATTACGTGATCATGATCATAGTTTTGCAGGCCATCTCAGATTCGAATTATTCAATGAGTTTGGTGAGTTCACCAATTGCGAAATTTTACACCTTCATCCTGACTACATTGCGACTTAATTATGACAGGAATTTAACCGGCCCTTCCCAAGTTACGAAGCTTGGAATTCAATCGTTCAAATCGGGTGTTCGGCCAATTGCAAGAAGTTTGGAGCGACGTTCACTGCGAAAGGTTCCTTTATACCTGGAGAAGATGGCCATCTGCGTCTCAAATACGCGGAACTGTTGTGTGGCATGGCACAAAATGTCTGACATCGATATATATCGCTTGTCTCTGGCCGCAAGAGTTGAAGCTCAGCTTGAGCTGAGCCCCTCGCTCCTTTCGATTATTGCGGAAGTAAAAGGTCGATTTTAACTATTATGTCGAGAATGGATCAACGACAGGAAGGTGTAAACACCGCGACAACTCGCGGCTTTACCATCTTCGAATGTTGCGTGTATGGCTTCACAACGATGGACATGAAAACGCGTGAGACAGGCTATGTATTCGATGTCCATAAATGACCTGCGGTCCTTCGATCGGACTGCGTAAAGCCAACTTCGCGCGCGTTCGGCAAAGCCGAGACGTGCAGAGTCTAGAGAAGATACTGGAGAAAGAGTGAGGCCTGAGGCCTGCTAGGACGGATAGCCCGTCG